AAAAAAAAAAAAAAAAAAAAAAAAAAAAAAAAAAAAAAAAAAAAAATTAAAAAAAAAAGAAGGAAAATCTTGGAATGCTTTAATCGTACCTGCTAATCTACTGAGGTTTTAAGAACTTTTGTATTGCTTTCTGCAAGTGTAATTATTGTTGATATGAGAAAGAATATGGTAAAGCGTGCAACCAAAAAGGCGTGATCGAAGGGTGGGGCTTGGGAGCTACCTGTGGGTGACTAAGGAAAACGTGTAACCTATGATCATCATGTGATTTCTTCTTGTGCAATGATTTTAATTTGTTTTTGGAAATTATGTAGCTTGTGGTTTTGAGGTAATCTTTTCTTACATAGAAATTTTTGTATTAGGAGGCATAAAAGGAATAAGAGAAAAATAAGAGAAGAAAAGATGTAGAAGGAAAAACATTGGAAAAGAAGTAAAGGGAAACAACAGGGAAGAGGAAGGAAGGAGGAGGAGGAGGAAGAGGAGGAGGAAGAGGAGGAGAAAGAGAAAGAAAAGCACACCAGGGTAGAATAGGAAGAACAAGCAGCAGAGAAAAAAATAAAATGAAGAATTAAGCTTTGGCCCTCCGATGAAGCGCCCATGTGTGTCTGCCTTTGTCCAGTAGTTCGCCTGCTTCACATCTCCTCCTCAGTTTCTCTGGTCTGCTGAGAGCTTGGCCCCTGAGCAGCACCAACAGGTTCCTGCTTTTCAGCACAGGCCCACATCAAACTCGAGATCCTCCAGTATCGTCTTTCTAGGTGCCAGGGTTACAGGCACCAACATGCCCAGCTGCAGCGAGGTGGACAGGGCTGAACCCACAGCTCATCCCTGTTAGGTACATTGATGCACACGTGGTGGGGTTACGAAAACAAGCAAGGAAACTGCTATAAACCAACGCTAGCAGGAGGCTTGGGGCCGGGTTGAAAATGAATATGCATTTATGAGACTTTATCATTGTTGAAAACATTTTTCCTATGAATCCGAATAAATGTTAAGAAAACCCAAAATTTATCCCTAGCGTTGGGTATTTTATGTGGAAGTACGTCTCCAGAAGGTAGACTTTCTAGATCCAATCCTTTGAAATATGCAAAACACGCTTTCGACCTTGGCTAAGGCACTAAGGCGTCGTCTTACAAAAAGATAGTGCTGGATTTGTGATTCTGCTTTTGCGACGTGCGAAGATTTGGGTTGATAAAAGCCTTACTTCTAACAAGCACACCTATCCCTAACAAGGGCTTTATCTGGGTAAATCCTCATTCCGACATGGAGCGTGCGCCCTCTGCTGTCCGCATGCTCTCAGGACCACCAGTCCCAGGGACCGTTCCTGCCGAATGTGAGCAACTGGACATTGAAGCCCTCAAACTCAAACCTGTTTGAGAGCCATGTTCAGAAAGGGTCCCTGACATCCAAACCGAGCTCTGCCCCAAACAGCAAGAAGAGCTAGTGGTCATGTCTTCGAGTATACAGCAGGGGGCGCTACAGGCCAGTTTCTTAAAGCGCGCACTGCAGGTTGAACAGCAACAGGAGTGTCAGGAGCTACAAGTGTTGCCTTTGCTGAACTTAGGGAGCAAAAGGGCAGTAAGAGAAAAAGCAAGGAGAGAGGTGTATATACAGGACACAAGAGACTGGGTGCTTTGGAAAGAGGAATCATGCGACTGCCTTCTAAGAACGCAGGGAATGAAAGCATCACAGAATTATTGATCCATTTGCGCAACATTAGTGCACACTTCCAATTGCTGCTATTTCAGTTCGCAGAACGATACCGTGCCATCTCCAGAACCCCACTGGTTTCTGATTAAGCAGTATAACTGGACATGAAGATGATAGGGTCACCCGCCTCTCTGGCAAACAGTTTTCTGGGAACAGAAACCAATTTGAAGAGAGCACACTCTTCAGAATCATGGACAGAGAACGCGCTGGTGACCAAAGAGAACTGCCAAGTAGGATGGCATTCAAGAGAAATCAAAATGTAAGCAGATTAAGGGGAATGGATGCAAATGAGCTCTACGTCCTAACTCTTGGCCCCGGGGAAGCTCTAGTTTACCCCAGAGCTGATCTTGCAGAGTCTTTTGGGCTCTTTGTTCATTCTATGGTGTCAACCCAAGTAAATGCCCCAGCTGGAAACGTTCGTCATTTCCTGAGACCTGCAGAAAACCATTGAACCTCCCATAGTCTCATAGGTCTGGGTACCTATGGGATACCACAGGTTCTTAATGCACTCGAGGGAGACTTTGTGTTTTGTGCCAGGTCACTGCAAAACGCAAAGGTCCCAAAGCGGACTGTCTTTTGGTTTCCTATTGCCTAAGAAAATATGCATTCGTTATTGCCATCTATTAATTGTGCAATAGTATCAGGACTTTAAGAAAGTATTTCTCTTAGTATGAAAAACATTGTATTGCTTATATTTTTATGATTTTAATATTATGAGTTTGTTGAAATACATTAATAGTGTTTTTAAATGTTTAAAATGTTTAAGCTGTATTTGTTGAACATATCCTTATTTGCTTGTAGTCTTATGGTATTTTCTTTTGTTTCTTTTTTTGCTGTTGTTTTTTAAAGCCAGGGTCTCACTTTGTAGTCCTGACTGACCTCAGACTCACAGAGATCCACCTGCCTCTGTCTTCCAAGTGCTGGTTGGGGTTAAAGGCATGCACTGCCATGTCTGAAACAGAACAGTCATTAAAAAAAAATGTAATGCCATGCTGGGTGGGTGTGGCATGCACCATGGAGGCAGAGGCGGCAGGATCCAGCGCTCAAGGTCTTTCCTAGCTACGGGGTTTAAGAGAGTTTAAGACTGGGTGGTGAATGAATAAATGAAAGAAATAAAACAAAAAGACAAAATGTAAACAAAGAAGCCCAGACCCCCCCCCCCTCCCCCATGGTCCTGAAGCCGCTTATCAAATCCTGTATGGCTTACCCCTGAATTTCACTTAGATGAAAAAGATAAATCCTTATATATGTAAATTATTTTATTGCTCAAAAATGCTAACAATCATCCAAGCTACTTTAAAAAAACCGAGTCAAGTAAATGTGTGTCGTACAGGCCTGGAGCAAACTTTCAATTTGTTGAAAGAAACAGTAAAAGAACAATGTTGCAAGATGAAGAGCTGGCTCAGCCGTTAGGAGCATTTCCTGCTCTTGCAGAGGACCTGGTTGGGTTCAATACCCAGCACCAACACAGCATCTCACCATTGCCTTTAACTCCAGTTCCAGGAGGATCTAATGCCCTCTTCTGGCCTCGATGGGCACCAGGCATACCTGAGGTACACACACATACAGGTGGGCACTTACACATACATGTAAAAAAAAAATAAAAATAGTAATGCAACATCTACAGAGCGCAATAAAGGAAGATCCATCTGCCTATCTAAAGCCTAGCACCACTTCCTCCCTTCCTGTTTCCTCTGGCGTAGGTGGGACTCTGAGGCCCATTTTCCTGAGCAGGCAAGCTTGTCCTCAGCGAGTGAGCTCTTTGGAAGAACATCTAGATCAGACGAGAATGGATCTAGAGGCCAGAGCTGCAGGAGCCTGTCTCCTCTGACCTCGAGGAGGGAAGCTGTACTCCTTACAGACGTCCTCCCATGACCGAGGGCTTTAGTCACCAAGAGAATGAGCTGGAGAAGGATTCTTCCCCAGTAAGGACATAGACTGACCATAGTTTGTAGCCTGGGGAGGGATGGACCAGAGATGCTCGACCCATAGAAGCTAAGAGACAGGAAGTAGGTGTTGAGCAGCTGTCTCAGCTAGGGTTGTTCTTGCTGTGAGGAAACACCATGACCAATGCAAGCCGGGGAGAAAAGTTCCATCAAACAGTTCATCATCAAAAGCAGTGTGGACAGGAACTCCAGCAGGGCAGGGACCTGGAGGCAGAAGCTGATGCAGAGGCCATGGAGGAGTGCTGCTTACTGGCTTGCTCCGTGTGGCCTGTTTTCATATAGAAGCCATGGCCCCCAGCCCAGGGATGGCACTGCCCGCAATGGGCTGGGCCCTGCCCATCAATCACTCATTAAGGAAATGCCCTACAGGCTTACTTACTGCCTCATCCCATGGAGGTATTTTCTTAATTGAGGTTCCCTCCTCTCTGATGACTCCAGCTTGTGTCAAGTTGACATAAAAACCAGCCCCAGAGCAGGAGAGGTGTTATACACCTGTAATCTCAGGACTCGGGAAGCACAGGCAAGGAGATTGTAAGTAGGGGCCAAGCTGAGATTTGACGTCTTCTCTCAAAATAAGGAAACAAGCAAAAGGGTTGTTTTAGATTGTCAGGTGTGATAATTTACTTGTAGAGAAGGAATACCCCTATATTGACTTTCTAGCTAAACACCAACCTTCTGAGGGGACCCCAGTGCTGCCTTCTGGGGTGCTTCCACCTGTGCCTCCCTCTGTTCTCACAGCTGGGGTTGGCATCCAGCCATGTCTACAGGGACCATTGCTTCCCAAAGGCTGCCTGTGACCCACGGGATGAGATATGTTCTCCCCGTTTGATCGCTCAGGCCTCTGATCAGCCCATCTCTCTTCCCTTCTCACTCTCTGAAAGCCAGTCCTCTCTCTGCTGGGGGGACCCGGGAACCATTGAAGAAGATGGCAAGCAAGAGGATTTTTATTTCAGTGGGTTTTGCTCAACTGACACCTTGAGAGGTGCCCATAGGTATGTGGGGGTTTAAACTCAGCATCGGGGTTAGTAAGCACCTAAGGGAACCATCAATTAGCTTAATGAACTTAATATTTCAAATACCTTTTTTTTTTGCCAAAATACCACCCACATGGCCAGCCCTGCTAGAGTATACATGATAAGAATGCCTCATCTTAAATATACTGAATATGTCAGAATTTTTGAAATTTAGTAACTGAACTATTTGAAATATCTACCCAATAACCTCTGTCTATGAAAACTTTAAATTTAAAGTGTCGAATTATTTTAACAGTCAGGAAAGTCCAGTGGCCTTGCTGGACATTGTCAAGTGCATACTAGTTTCAGCCTCAGGGAGTTTTGTGTTAGTTGGTTTGCTTTCACTTTTCGTGACTCACCTGACTTCTGAGCTGATCTGTGAGCTGACTAACCCAGAGCACAGGGGCTCCCATCCTGCATTACAACAGCCCTGTGCAGGCAGCCGAGACCTTAAAGGTAGAATTAGCTGCCACAGTTGCATAGCTTATATCATAGAGAAGTTATCCACATAGAAACACCAGGGATGGAGTGAAGAGAGAAACAAAGGGAGAAGAGGAAACTGATTCCCTTAATCACGTGGGAGAATATTTCTTCTTATTGGACTTTTTGTTAGGTTTTCAGAGGAAAATCTTGTGTTGTTTATTACTCTGTGTAAGGTATATTTTAATTATAAAAAAGCCAAACCCAGACTCTGCTTCTTTTTGGCTATTTCTAAAATTCCTTTTTGTGTTGAAGCCAAGAATCTTGATTTTGCTTAAATGGAGCTTTTAACGGGAAAGGGAGTTTTTCAGGACGTCTTGACAGAGTAGAGTTGACCCTCCATCCATGCCACTTATATGTACCTCAAGTGCCTGACTTATTGAGGATGATTTTAAACTTGCTTTACATTAAAATATTTTGAACTTTTTTATTTACTATTTTTATATGTGTGTCTGTTGTCTGTGGCACTGTGAGTATACAGTGCTCACAGAGGCCAGAAGGGGGCATCAGATCCCCTGGGACTGAGCTGTGTAATTGCTGTGTGCCACTGTGCAGTTCTGGGGATTTAGCCCAGGTACTCCAAGACAGTCAGTGCTCTAAACCACTGTGCCTTTTCTCCAGCACCTTTTCCCGTTCAAAATAAAATCCATTGTGTGTGTGTGTGTGTGTGTGTGTGTGTGTGTGTGTGTGCGTGTGTGTGTGTGTGTGTCTATGTGTGATATGATGTGTGAGTCCAGGTGCCTGGAGTCCAGGAGACAATGTTGGATCCCCTGGAACTGGAGTTATAGGCGACTGTGAACTGTTCAGCGTGAGTGCTGGGAACTGAACCTGGGAATTCTGCGTTGTGCTTTTAACTGTTGAGCCATCTCTCCAGGTTGACTTTGGTATTTTAAACTTTTTTGTTTGTATTTTTCTTTTTTCTTTTTTCTGTGGTGCTAAGGATAGAATCCAGGGCCATTCACATGCTAGGTATACCTAGGTATACACAAGTGTGTGTGTGTGTGTGTGTGTATGTATGTATTCCCAACCCCTTAACTCTCAGATCTTTATCAATACATCATGACATATGGATCTTTACAATATGACTTTTTGGGAAATACCATTCAGGAAATCAGGGGGTTGTCACACCAACACAGAACTCTAACAAGTGTGTCCAAACTTTTGACATTATGTAGTCATTTACAGTTAATGATTAAACACTGATCATTAGTTCAATTGAATTCCCTAAGAAAAAAAGTACAAAAAAGAAAGAAAGAAAGAAAGAAAGAAAGAAAGAAAGAAAGAAAGAAAGAAAGTCCCTTATGTTTTAAATAAGTGTAGCATTTTGTGTTTGGTTTCACACATATCTATCTGTTGTGGAATATTAACTTAAGATGCATTATATTCATTTATGCTGTGGAATATTTGCTTAATGATGGAAAGATGTGTTGCACTCTTTCATGTTGCATTTTGTTTAACTTCTGTGAAGCTGTGTTACTTTGCCATCTAAAACACCCGATTGGTCTAATAAAGAGCTGAACAGCCGATAGCCAGGTTTGGGAGAGGGATAGGTGGAGCTGGCAGCCAGAGAGAATAAGTAGTAAGAGAAGAGAGAGGGGCGAGCAAGAAAAAAGGAGGAGAGGATGATGCCAGGGGCCAGTCGCTTAGTCAGCAACAGAGTAAGAAGAAAGGTATATAGAATAGAGAAAGGTAAAATTCCAGAGGCAAAATGTAGACAGATATTTTAAGAAAAGCTGAACAGAAATAAGCCGAGCTAAGGACAGGCATTCATAAGTAAGAATAAGTCTCCATATTTACTTGGAGCTTGTAACATGAGGGGTCCGGTTTGTTGGGGTATCTGTCCCACCCAGTACCCCACAACCGGCAAGCCCCAAGGGAAAGTCACACACAAGACTCCATAAGATTATAAACTGATTGGCCCATTAGGTCAGGCTTCTTATTAGCTCTTATAACTTATGCTACCCCATTATCCTTATCTATGTTAGCACATGGCTCCGTACCTTTCTCAGCAGGGCAGGTTACATGCTGCCTCTTCAGTGGTCTGCACAGGAATGGCAGAGGAATCTCCCTGCTTCCCAGAATTCTCCTGTTCTCATTGCATCACCTCTACTTCCTGTCTGGTTTTCCCGCCTATACTGCCTGCCTGGCCAATCAGCGTTTTATTAAAATATGATTGACAGAATACAGACAATTCTCCCGCATTATTTCCCTCTTTTTTTTTTTTTAAACAAAGGAAAATACCCATAGTCCATTTGTTGGGAATGTGGGCGTAGTATTTCAGGCTACTTCCTGCTGGTTGGGGGCGCTGATGATCTTATGGGGACCTAAATAAAATTTAGAGTTATAATCAAGTCCTGACTGGAGTATCCTGGGAGTCTTGATCATCTCAGGCAGCAGTCTTGAATCCGTTCTGGATGTAGAACTCAGACATCTGGGCCATCTATTCCTGTCGGAGATTTTTCAGGTGGCCTTCCTTGGTCAAAGGTGATTTTTCTTCACTCTGAATAAATCCAGAGCCTCTCGTTTTCTGTGGAAACAAAAGCAAAATCTCTTCTCCAAAGTAGCATACCTTTTGACTTCAGTTTTGAAGCCAAGGTATTTTCAAAATACCTATCTTGGATTAGTTCAGTATCATTTATAAACAAAAGTCTCTTAGCAGCTGTTTCTCCTTCCTCAGCATTCAAACAATTCAAAGAGAGCATAATAGCATACAGTATCAAGATTCTCTGTGTATTTTCCATCTTTATGTGGCTTTATTTTAACCTCTATTTCTTTTATTTTTACTTTTACTTTTTGAGACAGGTTCTCTGTATATCTTTGTCCTGGAATAACTCTGTAGACCAGGCTGTCCTTGAACTCACAGAGATTCCTCTGTCTCTGCCTCCCCAGTGCTGGGCTCAAAGGTGTTTGCTACCACACCTTGAACTCACAGAGATTCAGGTGTCTCTGCTTCCCCAGTGCTAGGATTAAAGGTGTGTGCTACCACACCTTGAACTCAGAGATCTGTCTGTCTCTGCCTCCCAGACATTGGGATTAAAGGCGTGTGCTACCACACCTTGAAGTCACAGAGGTCAACTACCTCTGCCCCTTAAAGTCTCAGAGGTCAATTTACCTCTGCCTCCCAGGCATTGGGATTAAAGGTGTGTACTACCACACCCAACTACTTTCTTTCTTCCTTTTTTACCCTAAGAACTTTAACCTTTAGCCTACATATATTTTTAACTCATAATAAACCGTTTAGAGGTTTTCTTCCTCTTTGAATCTCTTTTTACTGTATATCTCTCTTTTTCTGACCACATGAGTCTAAAACCGTGGCTTTGACGGCCAGACTCATGGTAGAGGTACCACTGGAGCCTTTTACTGCCACAAGTCTATGGCATTTCAAGGTCCTTGCCAGCAAGCTGCAGCATTCTGCTCATAGGCCACACTCAGTCGGACTGCCTACCTGAAAGAGTCAGAGTTTGCCCTGGCAGGACAGCCCAGAAAGCCGACATTTTAAAACAGCACAGCTTTTTTCCTGCTACTGCTGAAAACTGAAAAGCTTGCGTTCAGCTTTTCATCAACACCGTTTAAGTGTTTCCTGGCAGGACCTCTTAATGAGCTGCAAAGTTTTGCAGCTAAAGCTGACTCAGGAAGCCTCTCTTAGATGAGAGCACTTGCTTGCCTCTAGCAAGCAGGGCAGACCCGAGAAATTGCTGCTACCAAGAAAACATGCTTTACTCTATTCTTTCCCAAACTTTCTCAAGCTTTCTGTGGATTCAGTTATCCACATTGGGCGCCATATAACGGCGAATCAATCCCACACCAGTTATATTTTAAGGGGTTATTTATTTTGGGGGGTAAAACTTACATACACCATAAACCGTCAGGAAGGGAGCCTAGTCGCTGGAGCAGGAGCCGGGAGCAGGAGCCGGGACCAAGCACCGGAACCAAGAGAGCCTGATCCGGGATCTGTGGCTCTTTTTAAAAGAGAAATATACCACGCCCCAGTGGGAGAATTGTCTGTATTCTGTCAATCAAGAGTTGGGTTGCAGGACTCCAAAGAGTAAAGAAAGAGAAAGAGAGAGAGAATGAGAAACCAACCAACTACAACTTTTCTTTAGCAACCATTAAACTGTGGGACGGCCTTTGGTCTCAAGTTCTATAATGTTGTATTTGCCAAGGGCCATGCTCTGTTAAGCTTTTGAAAAATAAATGAACAAACAATTCGATTAAGCTATTCTTTCTTTGCTTCTCTTCTTCTGTTAATTTAAAGATATCTCTCTCACCTCAAAGGGGATAAGAGCTTATTCTGGAGGTAGATAGGAGTGGTGATGGCTGAAAACAAAGACTCATGTTAAATCAAACTCCATGTTCCAATGTGGTAACAGTTTGCTTTTGATGGACTGCAACCGTAAGATGGAGCACGCTCTGTCCTCCACAACTTGGCTTTGGCTTCTGCTGCTGTGGTAAATACTGTCTTCCTCAGTGCTTTATGGCTGAAAAGAGACCCCATGACCATGGAGACTCTTATAAAGGAAAACATTTAATTGGGGCTGGTCTACAGTTCAGAAGATCTTCCCACCTCCCAGATCTGGATTACAGGCGGGTCTTCCCACTTCCAGTGATTTAGTTAAGGAAAAAACCTCTCACAGGTGTGCCCAGCTACTTGGGTTTCAGTTAAATCAAGCTCTAGTCGAGTTGACAACCAAAGATAATCACCACACTGATCCTCCTTTTGTCTGAAGCAGGGCCTTCCTTCAGATAGCTCTTATTAACCAGATTCATCACGGACAGACTCTCCCAACAGCGCTGGACTCGGAGGAGTTCTGAGCCCTGAGACGGAGGACCTTTTCTCTACATCCTGCGACCTCATGGTGGGCCAGATTTGGGACGTCGTGGGAGTGGCTGAGAAGAGAGGTACGTGGGTCCATAGTTGTGCAAATGAAACCTCGAGGTTATACCAAGTCCGTGAAAGTCAAATGGACTCGTGAATTTTTGTCTCTTTTTGGAAGGAAAAAAAGAAAAAGCAAGAAGTGTTCAAAAAAATTTCACAGCATTTCCAAAAAGCAGCTTTGTTCCCATTTGGCGTTTCTGAGCACAGCTTCACAGAGCTTTTCATCTTTTCTATGATGAAAGTAAAAGAGAAAATGATAGCTTCATTTGTAGTTACAGAAGTTTCTGTGTGTGGGAAAGGAACTGAAGTCAAGCTGTGAGGGAGGACATAAAAGGACCCCTAGGAACACTAGGGCTGACAGAGGCACCTTAGTAGGGGCTGGCGGCCCTGAGGGCTGCGAGACAGCCCAGGAGCTCAGTGCTCCTCGCTTTGGGTATTGGGCTCTCTCACTGGGTCCTGCTTCCACGCATGCCTCGCGTGGGAACGTCAGCTGGAGTCACAGAGGCCCAGTACTCCTCTTAGTCGCTTACATCTGTCTATTCTGCTGTACGCCTGAGTTTGGGTTTGGAACTGTAACAGTTTCAGACTAATTTTGGAAGCTCACAAGGAACAATGCTAATTGGGATTTACCACCTGTTAGCGTTTGCATGCAAACCGTCCCTCAAGGCTCCTGTGTTGACAGGCTGGTCTCCAGGTGGGGGGACTATTTCGGGAATTGTGGAAACTCTGGGAGGAGGGGCCTCCGAGGAGGAAGTTGATCCCTGTGGAAACTTCCTTGGCTTACTGTATGCATCTCTCTCTCTCTCTCTCTCTCTCTCTCTCGTTGGCTGATGCCGACCTTGAACTCTCTTTGTCTCCTAGTCTGAGCTTGACAGCCTAGTACCCAGACTCTTGGAGGCATATGCCTCCAAGCCTGGTTTGTGTTAACTATTGATGCTGTTAAATGCTTTTTTCATTTCTCACTTACGTTTTAGAGTCTGCAAATATTTGAACATTATGTTACTAATTCCTTCAGAACACACATACATATATTATACAGATACACAAGCAAACACACATACACACACACACACACACACACACACACACACTTCTTTAAACTCATCTTGCATCAGCTATATTTGGAGGAGCCAGATGCTGGGCTGAATTACTTTTGTTGCTAGCCTAGTTTGAATCGAAAGACACAGGTGAATTAAACATGATAGAAATATGTGCTCTCACCAAAAATTACACTCCTTAGCCAAAGTCTGTGGTGGATTTCTGCCAAAACAACCTCCAGAGACTGTATGTGGCATTCTGTAGCTTTTTTTTGGAAACATCTTTATTTAGTTCTAAGTTGGAGTGGTTTATTGTTAAGGACAGGTATGAGGTGATAGTCTCTGTTTTCTTTTCTGCTGGGCTCTTTCCTTCCTTCTTCGAGACAGGGTCTCACTGTGTATCCCAGGCTGGTCTGGAACTCACTGTACAGATCAGACTGGCCTCAATCTCAGTTTGAAACCTTTCTGTTTCCGGGAGCTGAGTGCTGGGAGGCACATGCTAACTCACACGCCTAGCTAGGTACCTCAAGGTTTTTCTTTTCTCTCTGTCTCTCTGTCTGTCTGTCTGTCTGTCTGTCTCTCTCTATGAGCGTGGTATATGTACACATGTGTGTTCAAGTGGCCACCCCTCTGAGGAGGCCAGATGAGATGTCAGGTACCATTCTGCCTGTATTCCTCTGAGACCCTGAATCTGAGCTAGGCCAGAGACGTCATTGATCCTCCTGTCTCCAGCACAGCATCGGGTCACATGCGTGTGGATCCAGTCCTGGCCTTTTCCGTGGGTGCTGGGAACTCAATTCCGGCCCTCATGTTTGTGATGCACGCACTTTACATCTGCAGCCCTACATTTCATTTTCTTATCGGAGAGTGTATTTGGGTTTAAAACATTCATCATTTGTATACCTTTTATTGGCATGTTGAAACTATTTTTTCATATTTTTTAAATGGGTAAGGGGGGAAAATAAATAACTCTCCTGTTTCAGAATGTAAATAGCAATAAAACTCTAGGTAAACAAAAAAAAAACTTAAACCACCCAATGTCCCTGCACTGATCAAGGGCCCTGTGTGTTTGCAGTGATAGCAATTTGACCAAGTTAACACAAAAGAAGAAACTAGGGACAGGGGACAAGCCCTGCATGTAGGAATCACACACTGAGATTTTCCTTACTTTGGGGCTGGCATTGGATCCCCTAGAACTGGAGTCATGGGTGGTTGTGGGCCACCATGTGAATGCTGGGAGTTGAACTCTGGTCCTGTGCAAGAGAAGTATGTGCTTTAACCACTGAGCTGAATCTCCAGCCTCTAATCTTTTTAGACAGCTTTCATTCCTTAAAAGTTTCATGCATTATATATAAATGTAGTATATGTAAATATTATTATGTAATATATAATTATATAAGTTATTAAGTTTTACTTATTTTTATTCTATGTATAACTTACTATATATACTACCATGTGATAGGTATCATAATATAATGTAAATATGTATATTATTAGGTTTTATTTATTTTTATTTTGTCTATGAGTGTTTTACTTGCAGGTATATTTGCTTACCATATGTGTCCATGATGCCTGTGGAGATCATAAGAGAGCATTTGATCCCCTGGGACTGGAGTTATGGATGATGGTGAGCCACCATGTGGGTGATGGGAGTTGAACCTGCGTGCTCAACAAGAGCAAGTGTTCTCAACCTCTGAGCCGTCTCTCCAGCACCTACAATGTATATTTACTGTATTCAGCCACCACTCCCTTTCCTTCAACTCTCTCTGGTGCCCCCTAACCCTATCTATCTATCTATCTATCTATCTATCTATCTATCTATCTATCTATCTATCTATCTTTGAGACTGGATCTCTCTTTGTAGTTCTACCTGACCTGGAAGTCTCTATGTAGACCAGCCTGACTTCAAACTCACAGAGATCTGCCTGCCTCTCCCTCCTGAATGTTGGAACTAAATATTTGAGCTGCCACACCTGGTTGACACCCTTTAAAATGTGACTATCTTCCTGAGTCCCGTCAGTGCTGCCTGAACGATCTGAAAGAACCCAATGTTATCAAAAAGGGGCAAAGACGGGGCAAGAAGACATATTGATGGAGTCCAGAAAACTTCTGACAGAAAACTAAAAAAACACACTAAAATACTTACTTAAGCCAGATGTGGTGGTGTACACCTGTAATCCCAGCACTTGGGAGGTAGAGGCAGGCAGACCTCTGTGAGACAGAGTCCAGCCTGGTCTATAGAGTGAGTTCCAGAACAACCAGAACTACATAGTAAATGGGGAGCAGTGGCTAACTGTGGTGCCTGTTAGTATACCAGAGTGCATGCTGGTCTCAGGTTCTCTCAGCATCTCAGTAAGTACCAGCTATAGCGTCCATTCTGCCAGGCTGGCTCCCTCAGCTCTTCTTATGCTAAGCTTCCCTAAACTTCTGGGCTTTCCCAAACTTCTCATTCTTATATAACCTGTCATTTTGAACATGCATTCTCTTGGCTCTCTCCTGACCCCCTCTCTCTTGGTCCTTCTCTCGCTCCCCGCTCCACCATGGCCCAGTTCACTTTGCTGCCCATGTTCAGTGTACTTTATCTTCCTGCTCTGAACTCTTCCAGATGCCCCTGGCTAATCTTTCCCTTACATCTACAATAAAAACCTTCTCAGCCATACCTTGAGGCAGCCATGTCCCCATTTTATATAAGACACTCTCTCAAAAAAAAAAAAAACCCAATGAAACAAAAAAAATGGCACAATGTAAATTCTACCTTACCAATGATTATGAAATATAAACGAACTAACAGTTCTAACCAATGTAGAGACCAGCAGAGTGGGTAAGATGCTGACTAACCCTTTTGTACCCTGTGAAGATGCGTTGCTCTCATTGGTTTAATAAAGAGCTAACTGGCCAATAGCTAGGCAGAAGAGTTTAGCCGGGAGAGCCAGACTGAGAGAACACTGGGAAGAAGAAGGGAAGAGTCAACAGTCAGACACAGAGGGGGTAGGATGTGTAGAAAATAACATAATAAGCCATGAATTATGTGGCAACATGTAAATTAATAAATACGGGTTAATTTAAGTCATAAGAACTACTTAGTAACAAGTCTAAGCTATCAGTCAAGCATTTATAATTAATGGTAAGTCTCTGTGTGGTTATTTGGGAGCTGATTGTCAGGACAGAAACTTCTGCCAACAGTGAGTAAACCAACCTGACCCAACTATAACTGTTATCACTGGAGATTTGGGGAGTCCTTGCAGAGTAGGGAAATCTGGGTCCCCTCTTAAGATTCTTAGTCTTGTTAATAAAATAATTTAGAAACAGACTCAAAAGAAAGCTCAAGGACAATTTTATTACATTTCAAAAGAGAAACTATGGCAGCAAACCCTAAATCTTGGCAGCTGTCTGAAGCAGAAAGGAATAAACCTTGCTGTTTGGATTTTCATCCAGCATGGACCTTAGCCATGTGGCAGACAAGCTGTGTGGCGGACACACAGGAAGGGGAGCTGTAGAGAAAGAAAGAAGTCCTAGGTGTAGGGGAAGCATGCTCAGAAAAGAGAAAATGGAAAATCATGCTTTTCTCAGAGAAGCAGTTCTCCCCAACAGAACCTCATGGTGATTCTGGATTCTGTAGCAAGTACAAAATTGGTGGGCTTTCTTGGAAGGGGAAGAACATCATTTCATTAAAGGGATAGGTATTCCTCCGATCTCTTCAGGATGACTTAATGTGACCAACCTCCCTGAGGGGTGTTCCCTTGGCCAGGTAATTGAATGACCCAAATGGACTAACTCTCAAGGAAAGAGACAAGGCACGTCTCCACCCAGAGGTAGATTCCATTCTTTACTGTAAAGCATCTATAGGACACATACCTTAAATTCAAAGATGCAAAGGGCTGGAAAGAAAAGAGAGGAGCAAACACGGAACATAATCAATATCCAAAGGGAAATGGACTAACTCTCTCGAGACAAAATAACAGACTTCATAAAACTGTTACTACAGA